GTTAGTTGAAACTATCCATCGAACCTCGTTGCATTTTCCCTCCCAAAATCGCTGACAAAATCATCTCTCTCAATCATCGAAGGGATATCACGTGAGATTCATTTTTGGACGCGGACAATTTTCAGGATAATTCGGTAAGTCTGATTCTTATTCAATCCATCAAAATCAGTGAGAAAACCGAATTGACCTTCACTTTGATCCATACCAAATTATCACAGAGAGAACGTCTATTGCATGAACCACGTGTTTTGATGGTCCATAACCTCAAAAAGTTTGGTCCCCCGAGTAATAATAGATTCAATCAAATGAAGATTCTCAGCTTCTCAAATTATTGTCAAGGAAAATATCAATCAAAAACGTCCACCAATACGAGAATAAGAAAAAACAATCGTGAACATATCACAATCTCTCATTTCAGTTGGAAAAAAAATCTCGTAACATTCTAAGTTTCTCAAAATGTTGATTCCAAACGTGCCAATTCACTCTGGAATGCTCTTGATCCTGATCAATTGGGAATTAGAATCCAACTCTGAATTTCATACATTTTCATTTCTAATTCATAATATGAGTTCCAGAATATATTGTCTATTGATGTCTATTAATGTTGTTCAGTGACTATTTTCGTTTTTCTGAGACAAAGTTTCTCGAAATTCCACTTGAATCATGACTTAAAGTATCAAATTTCAGATCTTCAAAAGCCTCAAAATGACACTTCTGAAAATTTCAGCCTTCCAAGAACATCAAAATAGGAATTTCTAGTACGTAAAATTATTATCGAGTCCATCAATTTGTTGGTAAAATCAAGATTCGACAATAAAATAATCCACGATTTTCGATGAACCTCACGATGAAGGAAGATTGAGGAATTAATATGAATTATGGAATTAATACTGACAGAGTTTGAATTGGATAGAATACCGACGTTTGGAGGAAAAATATGTAGTTATCTCAAATTTCAATCAAACAAAAATGAAAATTCCTCAAAAAGTTAATTTCTGAACCATAATTCAGTAAAAAATGCTAGTTGTTATCAAAACTATTGCAAATTGAAGTTGAATTATGAATTTTCATTTTAGGAAAAATCATGAAAAGTTTCATATGAATCGCCCAGAAACAATACACTTCTGGATTATAATTATGGAGGCACAGCGTGGACAGGCCTTACAGCAGCCTCAGCAACAACAACAGCTTCAGGAACCCCTACAATTACATGAAGAGTGGCAGCAACGCCACCAACCCCACGACGGTTTGCAGCAGCCCCTGCAGCCGCAGCCTCCACTTCCTCAACCCCAACAACTGCAACAGCCTGAACAACTTCTGCTGAATCCGCAGGTGCCTCATCCAGCGCTACAACAACAGGCTCAGCAGCCCCAACAACAGGTTCAAGAACCCCAACGATAGGCTCCACAGCCCCAACAACAAGCTCAGCAGCCTCAACAGCAGGCTCAGCAGCCCCAACAGCGGGTTCAGCAGCCTCAACCACAGGCTCAGCAGCCCCAACAACAGGTTCAAGAACCCCAACGATAGGCTCCACAGCCCCAACAACAAGCTCAGCAGCCTCAACAGCAGGCTCAGCAGCCCCAACAGCGGGTTCAGCAGCCTCAACCACAGGCTCAGCAGCCCCAACAACAGGTTCAAGAACCCCAACGATAGGCTCCACAGCCCCAACAACAAGCTCAGCAGCCTCAACAGCAGGCTCAGCAGCCCCAACAGCGGGTTCAGCAGCCTCAACCACAGGCTCAGCAGCCCCAACAACAGGTTCAAGAACCCCAACGATAGGCTCCACAGCCCCAACAACAAGCTCAGCAGCCTCAACAGCAGGCTCAGCAGCCCCAACAGCGGGTTCAGCAGCCTCAACCACAGGCTCAGCAGCCCCAACAACAGGTTCAAGAACCCCAACGACAGGCTCCACAGCCCCAACAACAAGCTCAGCAGCCTCAACAGCAGGCTCAGCAGCCCCAACAACAGGCTCAGTACCCTCGACAACAGGCTCAGCAGGCCCAGCAACAGGCTCAGTATCCTCAACAACAGGATCAGCATCCCCAACAACAGCGGCAGCATCCTCAACAGGTTGGATCACAATTCCTACAGCCTCGAAGACATCTTCAGAATCCCCAGCAGCCTCAGGAACGACTCCAGCAGCCTTCCCAACAGTATATTCCAAGACGGTTCTACCCTCAGCGTCACAATGATGATGAAGTCCTGGCGGACATTCAGGCAACCATAGATCGCCTCCAGGCGCAGGTGGGACATCCACAGCCTCTACAGCCTCAACGATCCAGGCAGCCACAACCCCCTGGATATGCTCCGCAGTCTCATCAGCCTAGTCACTCTTCACAGGCTCGTGGGTCTCCGCTGCCTCCACAAGGCGTTCGACCACAGACGGATCAGCTTCAGATGTTTCAGCAGCCGCCCCAGTCATCTCGAGATGAGGTGATCACTCAAATGCAGGAACAAATTCGTCAATTGGAGGAGCAAGTGGCATCTTATGGAGCAAACAGAGATGGCGGAGACGAGAATAGAAATCATAGGGGAAGAATTGCCAGAGGAGGGAGTGTTGGTAGAGGACAAGGTGGAAATCCAGGCAGAGGATCATATGGAGGGTTTTCGAGGAATCGGGCGAGGGCTGGAAGGAACTTGAATTATCACGATGCTGTGTGAGTATCTTCTCTGAAATTATCGTCTAACCTTTCTGGAATGCTATATGAAATCAGATTCATTTGTAAAAGTCATAGAATGTTCTAGAAACTTCTAGAAGGATCGTCGAGTTTTCTATGTACTCCTAGAAAAATCATGGAATATTCTAGAAACTTTCAGGAAAGTTATGAATTGTTCTAGGAGATTCCAGGAATTCCTATAGAAATTATGGAATGTTCCAGAATCTGGTAGAAAAATCGTGAAATGTCCTGGGGAGTTCTTTGAGGAATAGGGAGAATGTTCTGGAAGTTTTCAGGAAGTCATAAAATTCCCTAACAAATTTTAGAAAGATTATGAGATACTCCAGACATTTTAGAAAGAATTGTAGAATTTCTATAAATCTTGATTTCTACGTTCTAGGTATTTCTAGAAAAGTAATGTAACATTCCAGAGTCGTTCCGAAAGATGCTGGAATATTCTAAGGATTTCGAGGAAACACATGGAATATTCTAGAAACTTCTAGGAAAATCATGCAATGCTCTAGTGAATTTTAGTAACTCGTGGAAAAATTATGGGATATCCTAGAGAATTTGAGAAACTTATCTTCTCGAAAAATCATAGAACATTCTAGGGATTTCTAACGAATTCATGAAATGTTCTAAAAATTTCTGGAAAAGTCATCATATTTTTTCGACGTTAATTTTCTGACGAAAGTGAATGATCTGTCGCAGGGCCTTCATATCGCCAATTATGATATTATTTCTCATTTCATTTTCATGCATCTTTCATTCCCATTTTCATATCACTATAACTTCATTGTCACTTGTAATTAATATTTCTGCATGTGCATTGTTATAGCTATTGGAAAAGTCAGTACTTGCAATATAAAAGGAATGCATCTCGAAATGGAGGTGGTCTTCCGGTGATCAATCACAATTATTATAATAATTGATACCGGGTCCCACTCTCCATTCGAGATAATTGATCTGCACTCATGATTGTCTTTGGCATCTTCCATTATCTTGGGTGGTTTAAGGAGGTGAGTGGCTTGGGATTTCCCAAATCAATTGCTAAAAATCCATTGTGAATTAAGAATTAGTTTTTCAATATAATTTATCTTTACTATTTTTTTTCAGAGTCTTCCATGCGGACTTAAGGTGCCATCAAGGAGTTTGGATCCATTTTTATCATATCAACATTCAAAACTTTCATTCAAAAATATGTTGAAAAAGTATGGTTTGAGCTTTCAAGTTTAATATGAAATAATATGAAAAAATTGACATAAAATGCTCAATAGTAGTATACAAAGTCTCATAGGAAGTATTCAACAAAATATTGAAATGGATGTCCAATATCAATTACTTATATGTTCCAATTGTTCTAAAGTTTCATTAATAAAATGTTCAAAAATTATAAAAACTTGGCTTTCCTGATGAATACCGATGCAACTGGGCCCTAACTGCGAGAATAATCATCAGATGTTTGAGAAACGCCGATGGAAGTCATGAAATATTCTAGGAAAATTATAGAATGCTTTAGTGAATTCTAAAAACTCATTGGAAAATCATAGATTGTTCTAGGAACTTGGAGGAAATCTTCGAATTCTCTACAAAATTCTAGAAAAATCAGGTAATGTTCTAGGAAGTTCTAGGAACTTCACGAAAAATCATGGAATATTCTAGAATCTTCTAGAAAATTCTCGAAATGTCCTACGAAATTTTTTGGGAACGAGAATTTTCTAGAGACTTTCAAAGTTAGCGAATTCTCTTGGAATTCCTAGTCAAGGGGATATTTCAATTTTGCCGAAGTCAAATCTCGTAAGGATCATGAAAAGAAAGTTTGCGATAATTTTCATCAGCATTCTCCAATTGACTGAGTGCCTCGAGTGCAAAATTCTCGGAGTGAAAAATTTTTTTAGTCGGAAACTGCTGGAAAATTCAGTTCTGAAGCATCATATATTATGAAAAATCTCGTCACGGTCGCAGCGGGGCTAGTATCTTTAAATACTGATCATGTTAGTCGCCGTTGAGAACTACAGTTCATTTCCACTGCAACGACACCGGACGTTCGAAGCATAGACCGCGCATGTGGAGGGGGGAAGATCGATCTAGACTTAGTAAGAGAAAGATGCACTGGGTCCCTAGCTATCCTTGTTCAGCACTCAGTAGTGCTGAGAGTGGGGAGCAGAGTCAAAGAGGATAGACTAAAGTAGAGGCTCAGATCCGGGGTTTCGGTGACCCCAAGGCAGAATTAGTTTCACCCCAACGGAGGGATGGCGCCAGGGTCGATCGTCGGTAAGAAGAGCTGTGGAGGCGGGGCCTTGGCAACCCCACTCTTTCTGCTCATTCATTTTTTTTTTTAGGTAAAATGGGTTATTTCCGTGAGAAATGATCAATAAAAAATTTGGAGAGGAATATTTGGCAGGTTTCAATAAATCAATTGAACCGGTCAAGTCATAGGGGTCAAATGGCCAAAATGAATATATGCCGGGTAAAAAGAAATTATCTAGTATTATGATTTAGCGTATGGCTATGTCTCTCGACTGTCATGCGGGAAACGCGGGTTCAAAACGCGCGTAAGTTTTTTTTTTTTCTCCAATGAACAACCCTTTTCATTCCTTAATCTCTGGAAATAAAAAATAAAACCCCCCGACGAAAGTCACAGCGCAAAACGAAAACCCCGTATTTCTTAGCGCTGTGACTTTCGCCGGTTCGGCCGTTAATTAAAAAATTCCTCCTTCTCTTCTAATTAACATTAAGGAATGAAACTGGGTTCAATCGATGGGGAATTGAATTCCCCATCTGCAAACCCAGTTTCATCCCTTAATCTCTGGTAATAAAAAATAAAACCCCCCGACGAAATTCACAGTGCAAAACAAAAACCCGGTTTTTCTTAGCGAAACTGAGTTTGCAGATGGGGAATTCAATTCCCCATCGATTGAACCCAGTTTCATTCCTTAATGTTAATGGGAAGAGAAGGAGAAATTTTTTAATTAGCGGCCGAACCGGCGAAAGTCACAGCGCTAAGAAATACCGGGTTTTCGTTTTGCGCTGTGACTTTCGTCGGGGGGTTTTATTTTTTATTTCCAGAGATCAAGGGATGAAACAGGGTTTGCAGATGGGGAATGCAATTCCCCATCGATTGAACCTAGTTTCATTCCTTAATGTTAATTAGAAGAGAAGGAGGAATTTTTTAATTAACGGCCGAACCGGCGAAAGTCACAGCGCTAAGAAATACGGGGTTTTCGTTTTGCGCTGTGACTTTCGTCGGGGGGTTTTATTTTTTATTTCCAGAGATTAAGGAATGAATAGGGTTGTTCATGGGAAAAAAAAAAAACTTACGCGCGTTTTGAACCCGCGTTTCCCGCATGACAGTCGAGAGACATAGCCATACGCTAAATCATAATACTAGATAATTTCTTTTTACCCGGCATATATTCATTTTGGCCATTTGACCCCTATGACTTGACCGGTTCAATTGATTTATTGAAACCTGCCAAATATTCCTCTCCAAATTTTTTATTGATCATTTCTCACGGAAATAACTCATTTTACCTAAAAAAAAAAATGAATGAGCAGAAAGAGTGAGGTTGCCAAGGCCCCGCCTCCGCAGCTCTTCTTACCGACGATCGACCCTGGCGCCATCCCTCCGTAGGTGTGAAACTAATTCTGCCTTGGGGTCACCGAAACCTCGGATCTGAGCCTCTACTTTAGTCTATCCTCTTTGAGCAGAGTATTGTGTAGTTAGCTAGTAACTACAAGGGTCCCTAGGCACTCCGCCATGTTTACTAGATTTTAGCGGAAATTTGAAATATATTTGACTTTAGATGGAATTGAATTATTATTAATATGATGTATTTTAATTATGAAGAATGTTTTAAAGTGGATATTCCCTGTTGTAAATTTCTCCATTTAAACTCGTAGCTTTCCCCAAGTAAAGTGTTGTGTTGTAAATTATTCCTTCTAGTAAAATGTCACGTGCATTTTGGGATACCTAATTTAGGCTGCGGGCCTTTTTCTTATTTTTCGTTCCGGGCTGAACCGTCATTTAGTTAATCCTTTTTATTACAAGTTCCGTTGCTGTTTTGGAGTATTTTCACATCTGCCGAACATTTATAACTTAATCCCTCTCACTCGCCACTAGGGTCACCGTGAGACCCGAGGTCTCTTTACCTGAACAGGAATTTTCCCCATCAGCGTCTGGCAGCAACTCCCTCCACCCCAACTATAGGGAGCCCCATGGACGCTTGACCAAGGGGATGACAAAATTCGAAGATAGAAATTAGACTCACTCCTATCCTAAGTTTTGAGAAGTGAAGACCTAGTAGTTGAAGCGAAAGTTGACAAGAGACAAATTGTAAAGACAGTTGGAGAGTAATTGTGTAATTGTTAAATTATTGTGAACTCGGGTTTTGAATTATTGTGAATTAATTAAATACAAAATTATTTGTGTGACGTAAATCTGTGTTGGACTTTTATTTTAAATATCCCGCACTCACAGAGCAGAGTGGTTCAGCACTCCACGGGCAACTTACCCGCCCTCTTCGAATAAAATACCTAGGCTGAAAATTGGCCACACAACAAGAGATAGATCTGCGCGGTCTAGGTATCATATGTCTATGGTTCAGGATGAACGTTCATTTGATAAAGGTACTTTCCAAATTCACAACCTAAAAATCTGGAGTATGATC